AATCCACAATCACCACAACGCGTTTGACGAATCTGAACCAAGTTCATCGGATGATCAATGTTTTCAAAAACGAGTTCTCTACGATGACTCAAAGCAGGTACGTTATTATGCTCGTCCAGCTGGATATATCGGTCAGACACAAACACCTCTGGTAAACAGGTATGGTGGTCAAAAAAGGAGAAGAAAACTCATGAGAATTGACTATGACAGGTCGCTGTGTCAAAACATATCGAGTATCTCAATATAGATTCATTAGCATTAAATTGAGGCTATCAGTCACAACCACTTCCTTTCTGTAACTTCAGTCTGTGCACATGATTCATCAGGGTTACCGTCATAATGACCGATACCCGGAATTAAACACCTGCACACTTGTCAAACTGAATCACAAGAGACCGACTGAGCTACCTCTTGAAAGTTTCCGCAACTAGTGACACGACAATGACCTTCATTTTAGCTTTCAATCGTTATATCCTTCATGAACTGATACTGATTCGAATGAAAGTGAATGGCACAAAAAGGATCCATGTGTGGGAAACACCGCTCTTTTAAGTTGTTTCTGAACTTTCTGTTAAGTGATTTAAAGTTCCCAGTCTTATTCGTGACCAGTCAGACAAGAAAACTCCTCTTACATGTACATGTTTTTAATGAGTGCAAGTGGAAAAAACACTTGTGCAATACGTTGACGACTGTATTGCTCACCGCAAGTTTCATGCATAACGAAATTGGGAAAGATTCGGTAAAGTTGTCAATTTCGTTGTGTGGTTATGAAGCCGAAAGCTGTGTAACGTTTAATGAAATTCTGAGCATGGTCATGTTAATCAGGTGAGTTGCAGTTGGGCACGTTCACTACACATGAATGGACCCACATTCTCTGGATGAACTGCTGCAGGGCTTGCAGACATTTGAGCAGGTGTGTGCCTGTGATGGAACTGCTGCAGGGATTGCAGACATTTGAGCAGGTGTGTGCCTGTTAATAACGGAGATGAATTCAGCTACTCTAAGTTGATTATGGTTTCCCATGTGCATGTGTAGTTATTCTCGTGTTATTGTTGCTGTCATCAAAATGATCGACCTAGATCTTTTTTTTAATCTGTGGTGATTTTGACAAAGTGAAAAGCCAGGCCATCCAATCCGCCACCAGCTGCGTTCACCCCATTTAACGTTCCGTTGGAATGGACACAACATGAGGAGTAATTATATGAGGGGATTCTTCTTAAAAATCTGATAGACAAAATGACTCTTGTTCTAAATTACCGACAAATAGATTGATCAGTTTATTACTTTGTTTCGAATTGATTTTCTAGGTGAACTGAAATAGAATCCATTAGATAATTTCGGAAAAATTATTATTTTAGTATAAAAATCTGACAATTTGATTATGACTAGCACATTGTCATTATTGTTATCCTGCAATGGGAATGGGCATTTTAATCACCACTCTTATCAATCCTGTCAGGTAATTTACTGCTGAGATGACGTTAACATTTGAATGCTGAATTTCAGGTAAATCGGTAAGAGTTTCTAGTGAAAAACCACAAAACACAACTCACCAGGGAACCGGATCTGGTCTTCAAATCATCCAGTTTAGCTGTACAACAGTCCACAATGCTGGGACATCGTTACCTCAGTTCTTTATTTCTATTTAGCCTAAAGCTGTCCATAGACAGCACCCGAACTCAAGTTGAGTCCGCACAATCGTATTGGTTGAAATTTTCGGCCAATTGTATTACAACTCAGACGGCAAATTCAGAAGTACAAAAGATTCAAAAGTTAATGGGCGTAAAGAAGGTTAAAAATTTGGAGAAAAACATGGAAATGCCTTAGCAGTGCTAGAATAAATTAAAGCACGCCACACGTCTTGGCTAACAAACAGCAGACTCTGATTTTCCTCTGCCTCCACCCCTAGTGAAGGCGATAAGAATGCTGAGAGAGACAGCATCAGGCTTTGTCAGACTAGCATCAGTCTACTGAATCACAAACAGAGCTCGTTTGCGCTAAAACTTCTCCTAGACAGATGAACTCGAACTACACAGTCCACAGATGCCTCCTTGCTTCGAAGTTCCACACCCAGGTTCATACGTACGTTAGTTAGGAACTCACTAATATATTTGCTGGTCAGGTATCGACACCGTGCGTAATTCGCACCTATTCCACGTGGTGAGTCTAAGAAAACAGCTAAATACACAAATATTTTATTTTTGCTTGTAACTGGGTATCGTCGTACGAGTAACATTATCTTCGCAAGCCCAGTCGCGCACAAGTGAGAGCTCGTTTGCCGTGATCAACGACGATGCTTACAACCATTAGGAAGGACGATTCGGTTATTCACATGACGATGTTTCTTTTTCGATTTGCAATTCAGCAACTTTTTTGTGCTAAATGGTTTAAAATTCATCAAAATTTTTAAACTGCGTTATTGGGAATACCTCCTGAGAATTATATGTTTGGTCGAAAAAGAATACGTCATACGATTCAACACTCATCTGCTCCAAAATAAATATCCCTGCTCTTGTCATGTGGCCACCCAAAACTGTTGGTTCGATAAAGTCTAGCTGTAGCTTTTGTGGACAGTTCAATCATTGATATGAAAATAAATGTGGATTCCATAATCTAAAGACATGTGAACTAGTCTGTGATCAGTTTTCTTCCTTGAACTCTTAACTGGAGGCTCTCAGCTTACACGGTGTGTGTGCACCCACAATTCGATACGCCGGTAGATCGCTCCGATCCCTCTTAGTTCACATTTGGAATGTTCGGTTAAAGTGCGCATGCATTTTATCATCGGTTTTGCCCAAAGTTACGAAGTGAACATTTATGCGAAGACGTTAATAAGGTGGTTCATCAGTGAAATTCAACACATCTTTGCAAAATCAATCAACGCGGACTTCCGCAAAGGACCGTATGACGTGACGACGCGCATTTACCACCTAACTCGCAAAGCTCACCTCACGGCTTCAACAACTACACTGACATGCTACTGAAATAGGCAGTTAGACGGCACGGTTAAAAAGTCGAAACTAACCCAAGCTTATGTGATCGATTTAACCGACCGAATGACCCGGTATATCCAAAAGAGCGTAATTTAAAAAAACCAGATGTGTAGACTGATAAGCTTACCAAGTCTCTTCAGTGGAGAGATTCATTAAAATGGACAATGGTATGTAGGCAGATATGAGTGTTGACTCGTCATTGAGCACTTTTTGCGACTGTTTTAAATCTTCGCAACAAGAATACCGCATCCCTATTACAATCGGATTTGCTGACTGTATCGTTCAAGGTGTATCTTCCAACGCTGTGTTGTAATTCCTTCAGAAAGTTACGTGAGGGAACTGGTAAACTTCGGGATCAGTAGGTGTGAAAATCTGGGCCATCTTAACTCCAGGTGTTACCACCTCAATGATGTCATCTCAACTGCGAATGAAGCCTTTACAACCAGTTTACGCAAATGAACAAAAGTCATTAAAAATAAGTGCTAAAATATTCTGTTCAAAACCACAGGATCGCTCAATCTTGCAATTGTCGTTCAGTCGTACCTAAGATTGTGACAAAAAAAGCGCCATCAGGCTCGCTGAATTGCTCGCTGAGAATAAATAATAAATGACTAATAAGAAAGCAAATGAACAAAGTCATTAAAAATAAGTGCTAAAATATTCTGTTCAAAACCACAGGATCGCTCAATCTTGCAATTGTCGTTCAGTCGTACCTAAGATTGTGACAAAAAAAGCGCCATCAGGCTCGCTGAATTGCTCGCTGAGAATAAATAATAAATGACTAATAAGAAAAGAAGACAGATGCTGGAAAATATTGAATAGATCTCAAGATGCATATTTTCAAGATTTCAAACATTTTCCTAATCACTTACACGATATTCTGAAAGCAGGTCTTAAATCAGCCTTTGATGGCGTGACTGGAACTTGTACCATCCGAACAACACACAGAGCATTGTTGTTCCGGAAGACCTTGTCTGCTTTCCATCTATATTTGTGCGTGCTCACCAGTGCGCGCCTGAGGCAACCTAGCCTGATTCACTGTTATCAAGATTAGAGTGCAGAGGAAATGTTTCTTCTAACGAAAACATTCGAATCCAATCCGTTGCAGTTACCAAATAGTCCAGTGTATGACGGCGGGAGGTGGGTGTTGGAACGGATTTACTCCCAACGGGGGCATATAGATAAGAA